ATGATAGAGCACTTAAAACATTTCTTATAAACAGCTAAACAACCGCCTCGCGCACAGGGACGAGGAAGATGAAGATGGTTAAATTATACACCTCGTTGTATTTTTGCTACTTTACTGCTCAGCATAACTGTCTAAACCCTGTAATAACTGGAGGGTCCATGTTTTTTAATGGCTATAATCGAGGGTTGCAAATTTATCTTTATTATTTATGGCCAGGACGGATAAAGCATTTTGTAAATCAAATCAAATGGTCCAAGACTCAGAAGCAGAATTAATTTAAAAAAGAGCTTCTATTTTGAAGTGGACCCTTGAACCTTTTTTAATCGAGATGTGAATCATTAAAAAAAAAAAAAATCATTCAATGGTGTGTTTCTAACAAATTTTGGCTAAACACGAGAAATTTGATCTTCTTAGATGACTTCCCGAACTTTAACATTTGCGATATTCTTTTTTATTTGGCTAATCTGGCGTCATCTGCTTCTCCCATGGTAAACATGATCATCCCGATGGGTGAATACAAACCACAGGAGTTTGATAAGGATATCTCTAAATTCTTGTTGTTTTGATTCATGCGCTTCCTTTCGGAAATCACCTGAATGAACAATATAAATCCCCCTTTTATACGCTTGACAACGTTTACATGTCTCTGTCAGTGTTTGGTATGTATTTTGTGTCCTAAGTACAATATGGCATAGAAACCCCACCGCCAAGCAAAACCAGGGATTGTCCCACCATTAAGATTTGGTCACATGGGAGCATTTCACTCAACCAACTCGCCAAACATGACGCTACAACACTACAACTTAATATTTTAACCGTCCATTGTTTCTGTCAGGTATAATAACATTGCATTCATCGAGTTAGTTTCTGAGATCTGGGGACAGGGTCATCGCTGAAGAGAATTCGAGAATTGAGGATTCAAGATGACGGTGCAGGTTAAAAACAAACCTCCAGGAAAGACAAATAAAAAATATGACTGTAATCATCCATCATATTCTACAAACTGTTTTAAATTTGGTGTTGGTCAAATCTGTTGGACAAGCTCACTGCGTGTTCTGTGTTTCTTGTCTTATTTGACTCTGTTGTAGTGGCACAACAAATGGCTTCTATCACCAGGTGCCGCAGCATTCTCTCAAGCTCTTCGACCGTTCCAGCGGCACGTCCTTCAGGAGGTTCGCGTGCTGTGTTCTCCAGGTTTTTTCTGTTGCAGACAGCTGACAATTTGAAGATGCCTTGGAATAAGAAAAAAAGCTTTATAGAGCAGAAGCGAGAGAGCAGCGTTCTTCAGAGCCGTTGTATGGAGGAAGCTGCAGAAACCTGCAAAGATGTGACTGCTCATGGCGTTGCCTAATGATTGGGTCAGCGGCGGATGGATGGAGGGGTCGTCGAGTACGGACGGTGCATTATCCGTACTCGACAAGTGGTCAGCCTCACCACAGTGCACTCGTTTTAAAAACAAGTGCATAAACGCATTGGCTGCAGTGCATGAATTTAAATTCTTCTTTTTTGAGTTTGTTTAGTAAAATGACAAATATTTTTCATATCGGTTGTATTTTTTTAGAAGGAGATGAAAGCAGTGTCTAGGATTATTTAAGCCGTTGTCCAATCATGTTATAAAGAATGATTTCGCGACATGTTCTGAATGCCGACACTTAAAACCGAGCTGAATAAGGGGTGAGATGCGATTGGGGTTCAAGTGTAGGTCACACTCCATTTGCAGGCGTGCATGCGGGAGTTTGCAAGCTGTTTGAACTATGAGACTGTGCAATGCGGGACGCAAACAACAGATGCCAGTATTTCTCCACACTTCCATTTGCTTCCCACATTCACCAGCATCAGGACATCAGGTGCAGGGTGAAAAAAAAACAAAAAAAAAAACAGCAGAAGGATTCAACAAACGGAGCTTTGGATGACAAGGACACCAGAAGTCATGTCAGGGCTGTGTATGACTCTGTGCATGACTCAGCGAGGTAATGGGAGAGGCTGCGGCAGCTTAGTCGCTCTGCAAGCCTCCAAAACATGATGTGCAGCGGAAAATATCCTTTTTGAAAGAAGAGAAATAGATTATATGACATTTATATGAATACAATGATGTACACCCTAAATCATTTTCTATAAATACATGTAATTGACTAGAGGAGATATATTGTACGACATGTTAAGGATGACAAATGTGTTAATTATGTAAAAATTCATTTTGCCTCTGCTTGAAAATGTAAAGATAAGAAGATCCAAATATATTTCTAATACAAAGTGCAGATTAGCTAATGAAATAAGAAGATAAGTGCAATAACATTTGAAGTAAGTGAAGATGAGCGTTGAAGGGGCCAGGCCGGTTTCTGCAGTAGTGAATAGTGAATTATTTGCACATCAGAAATAAAGGCTAAAAGCACACACAACCACACAAGCCACTGAAACTAAGACTTTTGGTCCTAAGGTTCCTAACTAAGTGGAATAACCAAGAAGAAGAGGGATGTAGGTGCTTCAGTGTTTCCTTTCTCATATCCTTTCGCATGGAGCATCCTTGGTTAAAAGGAAAGGAGGTAATGACGTCCCACAATTCCCTGTGGCTGCCACATTTTTGATTTTCATTCCTGAGATACTACCCCACCCTATCATAATATTATTGACTTATATTATTAAATGTAAATTATATATAGAAATCATGATATATATTGAAATGTTATGTATTTATATGATGTATTTGTTTAGTTTCAACTCTATCTATCCTGTAGGTCATTGAGTAATTGATGGTTAAATGTATAAAAAGATGAAAGTGAAAACTTTGCTCATGAAGTCCCCTTCGCATCTTTCTTTAACCATCGTGACGTATTCCATCGAGGTCGAGAAAAGCGTTGACGAAAGGAGAATTGTTCTTACTTTTCAACCACAGCCAAGGACCCGCGATGAATAATGGCTCCTGAAATCTCTGCACCTCGCCTCCATTACTTCTCTGATCATGTCTTCCTCTGACATTACTTATTTTGTCCACCCCCATATAGTTTGCGTGTGACTTTTGTCCTGAAAGCGATGGGATAAAATAACCATCTCTCGTCAATTCAAGCAAATAAGAAAACATAATATCAAATTCAAATTATAGAGCAAGCCCATTTTTAATCTGGTATTATCCAATGCAAGGGCCAGCAGATTACATGCACGTTACACTGATGGTGAATCTAATCTGTATAATCTGGCTCCACCTCTAGTCAGGATGATTTATTAAATGTTTTTGTTCACTTAACCTTGTGTTTCTTCTGAACCTTTTATTTGTAATCTGATATCACCACCAATTGGATTAGGGGCAGAGGGTAGTCAAGGACTCCCTCTGGGCCTCTGAACACAACTGCCACAGCAGTCAACCCCTCATCAGGATTCACTACCCCGAGCCAACTGTCTGGAAGACGCAGAAAATAAAAACCGAGGTTGTAGAGAACCAAAAGCAGTACACAACGAAAGGCAGGAGACGAGGCAGAGGGAGTAAATGCAGGAGTTTGATGCTGGTATCTGTGAATGCAGCCTTTTCATTTTTTCTTTTTGTTTGAATATTTCAAAGTACAGTTATCGATGCTGCGGCTCGGATCCATTTGAAAATAGGAATGTTATCTATCACATTCTGTTTCCATAAATCAAAAGATTCCTCCGTTCATAGCATGTTGAAATGTCATATGAGGATCAAAAAACCTTTGGATCCATCAGAAGGCAGCAGTATTTATATATTCATGACCATATAATGAAACGGTTACAACGACTTGAAGGTGAATATTTTAAAGGTAAACAAGGCTGCAGGAGATGGTATTACTAATAAAATGGGGATCCGACTCAGTCTAACATACATTTGAATGGATTCCAACAATTCTGCTGGGTTCACACATGAGTATGCTCCTCATGTTGGCCATACTCCTCTACTGGAGGTCCTATAGAGGAAGTGGAGCAGGGTTCCTGAGGATGGAGCTTGCTTCTCTATGACATCTGAATGCACATGCCGGGGGAACAAATTTAAGATTCCTTCCTGGCCCGTAATATAATACAAATTTCCTTCCATGCTCTTTAATAAACTGACCTTTATACTCCTTTGTAATGGTTGTATGAAAGAGGAAACAAGGCTGTATCATGTCGTGATCCTCCACAACAACAAAAAAAGATCCAGAAATCTCCCAGAGGAGTCACACATGCCTTGAAATGGAGTGAAGCCGGTTTAAGTTTTGCTGGTTTAATTTATGTGTGGCAGCCGCCATCTATGCAGCCCCCCCCCCGCAGCCTGGTGCTGTGCCAGCCGTCTAAATCCTCAGCCAACTTCCTTCAAGGTGTTTGGACTGGGAAACAAGATGACCTTTCACTTGAATCTGCAAATCGTCTTGGCAATGCTGTGCACAACTGTGCACTACATGACCGATGATTTCAAGTAGTGACATGGATTTAAGGTGGTCCATAAAAAGCACGTGGTATCAGAGGAATGCAAGCAATACTATATTATACACCTGCTCATATAACATACTGTATTACACTCCCAGTTTATTCATTGATGATGCTACTTTGATTAAAATAACAAATGTCTTTGAAAATTTTCCTCTCAGCAACATTGTGAGTCTTTTTTGTGTTTGTTCATGTTGTGATTTTGTTGTTGTTTTCTTAATTTACACGTGTTTTTCTCTATTTGTTCTATTTGCAAGTTTTCTTAATTTGCACATGTTTTTTTCTATTTGCATGTGTTTCCTAATTTGCACGTGTTTTTTTTCTATTTGCATGTTTTCTTAATCTGCACGTGTTTTTTTTCTATTTGCATGTTTTCTCAATTTGCACGTGTTTTTTTCTATTTGTTCTATTTGCATGTTTTCTCAATTTGCACGTGTTTTTGTCTATTTGCCTGTTTTCTTAATTTGCACGTTGTCTGTTACTTTGCAGTGCGCTGAGCTCTCTCGGCCACCGTAGTTTTATTTTGAAACCTGATTTTATTTTGCAAACAGTGCCGAAGCGGAACAGGTACAGCCGACTCTTCCGCTCCGTGGGCGGTGCTTAAGTAATTCACAGACTTTTTATCAACAGAACTTGTTTCTGTGTTATTCTATCCACCAGCAACATACGTGTTCGCTGAGCAGCCAATCAGATCCACCAGTAAACAGAGGGTTTCGGACAGTGTTCACGGTACGTCCTCTCCTCCACAGCCTGTAGCGCTTAGCCTGTGCATGCATTGTAGACCCTGCACAGGCGGAAGGTTATAACAGATGTACACACAGTATTATGTGCAGCGGTGTCACCACAGCCTGTGTGATGCATATCTGCGACAGGAGCTGTGCGGCTGCGTCGGTGCATTATGGGATCTTTTCAATGGAGCTGTAGTCTTCGTGCTCCCTCTGTGGCTACAGTGGGTGAAAGGACCTGTGCACAAGGACTGAATTTACAGATTAAATCCACCCCAGGCCTGTGCACACTATTCAAGTCAACTCTATTTTACTGCATTCACAACATATATAATGGGGGAGGAGAGGAGAGGCGGGTGGAAAAGAGGAGAGAGAGATAGAGAGAGAGAGTGCAGGGACAGTTGTGTAACTCTCACATTTAAGCCCTTTCAGTATATAATAGTCATAATGAAGGTTGCTCAGTAGTGTCAGGTCTGGATCCTGCATTATGAGAGAGATGCGTTTTCTTTAGTGCGATTCATTTAACTTAAAGGTCGAGTGGGTAGACTTTAGTGACATCTAGAGGTGAGGTTGCGTGTTGCAGCTGAACACCCCTCACCTCCCCCTCTCCTTCCAAACATGAAAAAGAACCTGTGGCAGCTTCAGTTGTCATAAAAAGTCAAAAGGTGTTTAGTTTGTCCAGTCTGGACTAATGTAAAAAAAATGGCGGCCTCCGTAGAGAGGGTCCCCTCTATGTAAATATAAAGTATTTAAATATAAAGGGTCTATTCTAGAGTAAAGAAAACAATAATTCGTATAATTTAGATGAAATGAACTAGTGAAAACATCACGAGGATTATTTTATATTAAATTTCTGCCAAAAGACATCGTAAATATTGGATGCTCAAAATATAAAAAAAGTCAAATGCATCTTATTTAACTGACATCGTGGTGTCATGTCTGTTTAGGTGCTGACGATGACAGTCCTGAATCTGTCCTTTGCCGCATGTGGATTCTTGGGGATCTACCACTTGGGTGCTGCAGGGGCGTTTCTCCGCCATGGGAACAAGCTGCTTGGCTCCCTCGGGGCCTGTGCAGGGGCCTCGGCCGGGGCCCTGGTGGCTGCTGTAATGATCACGGCACCGGACAAGTTGGAGGTAGAGTGCTCACCCTATTCGCTCCATGAAGTGAAGAAGTTTGAACCGTAGAGCGGGTTAAGAAAAAACCGAAAGCTTTGTTCACCTTGTGTCAGGAAGTGAGACATGATCTTTGTTTCCTTTTCTTCCAGGAGTGTAAAGACTTCACTTACAGGTTTGCTCAGAGTGTCAGAGAGCAGCAGTTTGGAGCCATGACACCAGGATACAACTTCATGCTGACGCTACGGTGGTGACTCAATTCCATTTTATTTATATAACTCCATGTAAAACACATTATCTCAAGCATCTTTACTTTGGACGATGGAGAAACTCAATAGTTCCCACAACACAGTTGGTGTTTTAGCCTCACTGGCAGCGAGGGCTAAACTATATTGCCGTCAAATTGGGTTCCCACATTCACCTCAACCTGAGGATTCATTTTTAGAATTTTGGTAATCATTAAGTCAGGAATTTTGTTATGTCAAATACAAACGAATGCCATTCCCCACGTGCTAACAGAATTTGTAGAGGAGGGAGAACTGCTGCACTCACAACTTGCAGGTTAGCGCTCAAGAGACAGTAGTGAATGAATAAGGTTTTAAGATTGAAAGAGGGCACACAGTATTTGGAGAGGAATGGAGGTATTGATGTGGCCAGTTAGCTGCTGCAACATTAGTCTGCAGTCGGCTGCCATCGAGGCACAATGTTCAATCATTAGTCCTGATCTGACTAATCTAGCTTTTACTACAAAGTTCTGGGCAAAATCGTCCTCTCTGTTGGAAAAAATGAGTCAATAGGCAATTTTGTCAATAGGCAAATGTTAATTATTCGTCTTTTGAGTTAAGAAAAACCACAAAGCATCCGTTACATCTAAATGAGCTGTATCCAGTAAATATCCAGGTTTACATAGAAACAACAACCTTTCTAATTTTATCTCTGCACAAATCTACCAACATTTTTTTTTATTGAAACAAGAAAACTGGGATCTCAGTGTGAATAAAAATGAAATGACGACTTGACAAAGTTCCTTTTTTAATATGCTTTGGCGAGGCTGCATTTTTAATTACATAAAACTGTGTTTATGATGCCCTGTGGGGACATTGGTAAAAACCTGACCAATGAGCATCGGTGTGTGGTTGCTCCTCAGGGAGGGCATCGAGGAGATTCTACCCGGTGACGCTCACAGTCTGGCCACGGAACGCCTCCACGTCTCAATAACACACTCCAGAAGTGGCAGGAACCACATTGTGTCGAGGTTCACCTCTAGGGAGGAGCTCATAAAGGTACACACCCACACTCGCTGATCCTTTCAGTTTAATATCCTGTCATAAATGTTTATGATTGCTTTACATAATTGTTTCCTTCCATTCTTCAGCTTAGTGTTTACTTTTTACCGCTTTGACCAGAAAGTGACACGAACAAAGTCACTACCTGCGTAATGAAGGACTATAATTAGCAACGGCACATAAAGCATTCGAGGGACTGTGAACTTTGGATCTTCTTTATTCTACATTTACACAAAGTATTCTTGTATCGCTCATGTAAGATGTTGACTGGGCCAAAATCTTCCATGTACAGTCAGAACCATTGCCTCTTGATAGAATATCTTTCCCTTCTCCAGGCTCTACTGGCCAGCAGCTTTGTTCCTGTCTATGCCGGACTCAAACCTGTGGAATTCAGGGGACAGGTAATGTGGTACCTGTACCAAGTTTAGGAAGTACCTGTAAAAACTTGAATTGCAGGTCTGCGTATTGATTCCTAAAAGTATAACTCTTTACTATTGCTAATAAAACCTACAGACGAACCAATGTCTGCCAGACACACGCATTACACATCAACACAACAAGGTGTCCATTTGTTTAGCCACTTGCTAGCTTGTTAACCCAAAAAACTAGGACTTATTAGTTTTATTAGACAAAACTTTGATTCAAACAAGAGCAATGTCATCTTAAAACTTTAATTTAGTACCTTTATTAAAAGCAGCTATCGTGTCATCACAGGGTGTTACACTACAGAATGTGTGTGTGAAAAAAGGCCAGCATAGTTGCAAAGCAAGAATTCAGTACATTGCACGTGCAGTTTATTTATAAAGCGTCAAATCCTACACACAATGTGTCTTTACAGGGAGTAAGACCTGATAGTCTTATAGAGCAAAACCCAACAGTTCCGTTGGGAGATATTTTATGAGCCGTCAGACCGGCGGTTTCCACAGACTCATGTTTTGTTTTATTAGAAATGGATCGATGGAGGCTTCACTGACAGCCTGCCAATTCTGCCTGTGGGGCGAACCATCACTGTGTCTCCCTTTGCTGGACTGCAGGACGTATGTCCTGTCCACAGGGGGCGCTTCCACACTCAGCTCAAGCTGGCCAACATGAACGTTACGGTGAGTATTGGGTCATCGTGGGGGAGTGGGCCCGAAAACCCATTCCAGCTGAAGACAAGGCACAGGACTGATTTTAACGAGCCCCACGCAGACTGCGGTGTCATAACGGTGCCGCCGCTCGCTCTATTGTCTAGCAAACCCCATCAAGGATAAAAACATTTACCACAGCCTAATCGAAAGTCATTAGTTGGTTAATCATTTCAAACGCTTCACTGGAGAGCCTACATTAGATCATAATGTTGAGCGTATGGAACCATTAAAATAAAAAAAGCCTGACGCATATTCCCTCATCAAAAGGGCTTTAGACTTTATATGTAATCTCAAAACATTAGCGTTTGGTGCGAACGCATCATCAAGATGTCTCCGTCTGCTGCATCTGTGGCTCGGAGGTGTGAAGGATGAATCTAGTGAAATAATATATATTTTTTATCAATTTATATGTACTGTGTTGTTTCTATCAAAAATGGAACAAGATAAAACGCATAAGCCGACTATATCACAACTAAATTCAAAAGAGTGATTTGAAATTTAGAAGAGCCAACCCTGAAAAGCAGACATTTACACATAAAGTAGCTGTTGCCCTCATAAAATCTAACCACATGGGGATTCACGGCTCATGTAAATTCTGGAGTTATTTCCATTTCTTAAATAATAAATACTGTTTGTTACTTTTCGTGGAAACAACAGCCCTTGCAGTTGCAGGACACTTCCTCTCACTGTGCTGTGTGTCCTCTGGTTTCCCTCAGCTCTCCGTGGAGAACATCAAACGTCTGAACCGGGCTCTGTTCCCGCCATCGACCAGCACCATGCACTTCTTCTGTGAACAAGGTTTCGAGGATGCCGTGAGGTTCCTGAGGAGAGAGGCCTGGATGAGCTGACGGGGAATGAAACAAACCCACGGGAAGAACTTGCTCAACGATATCATTCGCACGAATGAGAGGATAGATTTGATAGATTTTACTGGGTTTTATTTCCAGTGTGAGAGTAGTTTTTCTAGAGTGTCTCCATGGAGTGATGCCGGAGCAGCAGCACATTGATCCAACATCTCCACGCAGGACGATCTGCTCTGTGACAGCAGCTGAACATGATGAAAAGCCTTCATGAGAACATGTGCTCTTCATCAATTTTCCAAGGAGGCATTTAATTTCCCCCAGCTTGAAGCAGCGAGGAAAAAAATAAATATTGGATATCGCAGCACTTCACAGGAAGTCCACGCCGCCGTCATGAATGCTTGCTGGGAGCTCCCTTAGGATGGAGCGTCGGCTTTGAAGTGCCCGGCGATTCCACGGGGTTTCTCCGCTGCTGGGTTATTTTTTGATTTCCTCCAGCGTCAGGAGACGTGAGCAGGTTCTCCATTTTTTTTTTTTTTTTTTCGCCTTTTGAGCTGGTGTGGTGAGAACTGCTCCTCCAACAGGAGGGATATCTGCAGCGGGATATATCGCCAGATCGATTTGTGAAATACCATGTGACGCTCCACATGCGCTTCCCCGAACAGACCAGAGCCTTGTTGCTGAGAAGATGACATCATCCATTTTACAAATCTTCCTAAGCTGAAGAAGTTTCCCAGAAGCTTTGTTACTGAAGGCAACTAAAATGAGGGGGGGGTCAAAAAGAGACTCCTAACAACTTAAGGAGGCTCAGAGCAACTTAAGAGGCTTTTGAAATGATTGCAGTTTTAATTTGTTTTATCTGCCATAATGTTTAAATTAAAAAAATTACAAATGAAAGTAAACCACACTTCTCCTTCTGTATCTTTGCTTTCTATTCATCATGTGTATATTATGATTATTATTATTATTAGACACATGTAAAGCAGATCTGATACAGATCTGATAACATGGCATAGTTACAATGACGGACATAAATGCTTAACAGCAGCTAAATCAAAGTTTACTTTCCATAACTCACTTCCACCCAGGAACATGAACTATAAAGACAGTGTGCTGCATATTAATCTTTGCTTTTATTTCCAATCTTTGCTGGAAAAACTCCGTACAGTAAAATAACACAGTTGGGTTTGTTGTTTTCCAAAGCACAGATCTTAAAGGCTCCCTGAGGATCTTTTACTTTTTGAAATTAGATGCTCAATGACACTTAACAACTTTAAAAACACGCAGCCATTAGTAAACCCACTATCATGGCCATGAAAGGGTATTTTTAGTTTTAATGTGTCGTTTAGAACGGAAAATAATTCAAAGAAATAATTTGTTTTTCTCAGTTTCAAATCATTGCATACATGTCCCGAATGCTTCCTGTAATGTCAGTGTCTATTGTTTTCTTTATTTCTTTTTACTTTTACTTTTTCTAATCCTTGCAGACTTGAAATAGGATAATGATTTGAAACGAGCATCCATCCATCTACGCAATTATCTACATCTTTGTCCTTTGAGGGTCACGGAGGAGGGCTGGAGCCCATCCCAGTTTGGACTCAAGGATTAACTGGCCTGAGCCGTTAGAGGTCAAAGGTCAAGGTGACTGTGATCTCTCCAAAAACATGTTATGCCTTGTGAAGCCTACAGTTCGTTCTGGATCAGGTGAGTCCTGAACCAGGACTTAGTCACGCTACTATTGGTCTAGACTGCTGGGGGAACTCCCATCATGCACTGAGCTATTCTCCACTTCTCTGTCTCTCTGCCCCCCCCACACTCATTTATATATTTGAATACATGTCAATAACTATGTCACTTTTTCCTCCCATAGTCTCTCTCTCTCTTTTTCTCTCTCATTTCAGATATCTCTGACCCCGGAACCTCAGGACAACAACTATTATAAAAGTAATATTTCTTCTTCTTCATTACTATTATTACTTTTATTAATTACAATATTTCAGTAATTCATTATTATATGAATTGTGCCTGTTATCAATAATACTACAAGTCTTTACATTGTTACTGTTTACATTTAACTAGTCAGATCTGATACCTGATGGTGTTCCCGATCTCTCTCCCCCTCTCCAGTATCGCTCTCTCCTCTCCTCCCCCTTTTTCTCTGCTCACCCCAACCGGTCGAGGCAGATGACCGCCCACATTGAGTCTTGGTTCTAGAGGTTTCTCTCTGTTAATGAGGGAGTTTTTCCTCCACAGTCTCCAAAGTGCTGCTCATTGTGGGAACTGTTGGGTTTCTCTATATTAATACGATGTTAAGCTCTTGACCTTCTATGCAAAGTGCCTTGAGATAATGTATATTATGATTTGGCGCTATACAAATAAAGCTGAATTGAAAATGAATTACCGTCTGTTCATTTGGACTCACTGATTAAATTTGATTTTGGTCACAGATTCAAAAATGATGTGTTTTTTTTTAGCTTCTTAAATCTTATATCTCAAAACAACCTTGAAGGAATTTCTTCAACTCTTGATCTGTTTTCACTTGGACTCAAAGATGAAGTGATTCGATTTCAGTGGTTAAAGGTAACCTTCTGTGAATCCAATAAATACGTGGAAGTCAACTTCACTGGTTGGCGGAGGCATAGAACTGCAGTCATCAATGTGTGAAAGGCTCACAGGTTGAAACTCTCTCAGCCGATGAGGGGAAACAAAAATAAATAAATAACGGAGACAAGAGAGAACGTCTCACTAGTTGAAAAAAAACATCCCTCTGCAAGTGCACGTAATGCAGTTGAAAATAATCGGCTATGCTGTTGGGTTTTTGCTTCAGAGCCTCAGGAGATTTACTCTGGCAGTATGGGAGTTTGTGCATCAGCTTGTTGATCAGGTAGCTCTTCTACCTGCTGCATGAATCTCCCGGCAGCACTGTGCGGCTCAGCGGGGAACGCCTACCGCGGCGATGCGGTTTCCGGGACGCGGCCGCTAGAAGCACAGCGCGCACGTGTGAAAATGAAAATGTTATCGGCGGTGTTTTACACGGCGACACTTCACACTCTCTCTCTCTGCAGTGACTCAGTGCAGCTCACACTTGACAAATGTTCCCCTCTGTGACCTGACGTGCTCGGCTTTTTTCCTCGGATCCGAACGCGCACTTATCAGGGTGGTAACACATTGCAGGTGTACGCACTTCTTTTCAGTCAGCAGCTGAATAATTACCCTCACAAACGTTCTCTTTTGGCTTTTCGCCTGTTTCCAGACAGCAGGCCCCTTTAGTGCTTCATTACCGAGAGCGAGTTTTCCAACAAGACGAGCTGAAAATGTAATGTATAAAAAAGCTGAGCCCCGGGTGGAAACTTTAATTTAAGGGAAGCCTTAATTGAGACTCATTACGAGAACCAGCAGGTGGGCTTACGTAATACCAGTGGGGAAACAGTGGGTACATCTGTGTGTGTGTGTGTGTCTGTGTTCTCCTTGATTTACATACTAAAGCTATTTCATGTTTTTTTTTTATTTTTCTCGGTTTTGTTTATTATGTAGTTATATGATGCTTCACATCATCAAATGTTCTGAGTCAAATGCGGGCTGGGCATCATTTGATAGCTTTTAAAGATCCAGTGTGTAAGATTTAGGTGAAAGGGAATTCAATTTAATGTAGAATAATCCTCATGGTGTTTTCACTAGTTCGTTTAATCTAAATTGTAGTTTTCTTTACCCCAGAATATTATATTAAAATACTATATATTTAAATCGAGGGGGGTCCTCTCTACGGCGGCCGCCATGTTTTTTTTACATTAGTCCAGAGTTTTTATGACAACTGTAGCTACCACAGGTTCTTTTTCATGTTTGGAAGGAGAGGGTGAGGTGAGGGGTGTTCAGCTGCAACATGCAACTTCAACACTAGATGTCACTCAATTCCACACACTGTACCTTTAAATCTCATAAGTTTTGCAAAACAGAAAATACATCATTCTGGATTTTTGCTGTGTCACTACTCCCATACACACATTTTTTTATTTTAAGTGCCTAGACGCGTTCACACCATATTGCGACATGCAGTGCACCATACCCACTTGGTACGCTCATATCACTCTAAGGCCCCGTACACAGCTTGTCTTAACTTTTGGACAGCTCTGAGTGCCTCCGTTCACACCATTAAAATGTGGCCCCGCATGCGTCTTGTGTTCGAATCTCACCTCCCAGTTCGATTCAAACAAACACACTTGAGTCTGGTTCTGCTGGTTGTTTCTTCTTCCAGTAAATGAGGGACTTTTTTCTCCCCCCAGTCGCCAAAGTGCTGCTCATTGTGGGAACTGAGTAAGCAGGGTGCTGCCAGAAAGTTGATTCACTCATGATCCGTCACTCTTCTGAGTGCAAAACAATAATTGAATCATTGTTATGGTGGCAGACCTCAGGACATTAATGCTCAGGACATCTGGGTTTCATCTCCTTCCCACCAGATAACATAAAAACTTCTCACAGAGAGACTTCATCAATCTCTCGGACTCTCCGTGACTCTGTCTCTGTATTGACCCCTTTACAAAGGTTTGAAGCTTCTTATAATAAAATATACAAAGACAGGTCTGTGCGATCTTTATTTTCAGATTCCGACCACACCATAAACAAATAAATATCTAAAGATCCAACCTGCTACTTAATAATGTCAATTAATTGTTATTTTGATTTGTATCTAGGATATGTTTCATGGAAAAAGAGGTGGCAAATGTGACTAAGCATTCATTCGTCCTATTTGTCCCTTCTGCTCATGCTAGCACTGACATAACTGTCCGATTGTGGAGCAGCAGGGCTGCAGCCAGGGCTTCCATATCATATTCCCTATAGAAAATTGGCTCTCCACAGGCTTCACCGATCTCTGATGCCTCTCCACGGCTTCCGCCATCGCAGACACAACGGACCCGAAGGCCGGTTCAGCGTCAGGCGTCAGCGGCGTGGTCTCCGATGGGTCCTTCGAGAGGTCAAAGAGTAGCGGAGGATTGTGATAGGTCACGAAGTCCGGCGTGCAAAAGCACACTTGCGTGTGGACACACGTCGTCTCGTTCTCCGGGTAGAAGTTTTGTGTGAAGTAAAAGGCTTTCCACACTGAGCTACCTGCAGAAATTAGAAATGCAACAACTCAATGTGACTTACAACCTCGAGGCAGTCTGTGTTTGTTCAGGGGTTTTGGAACTTTTCAGCCCCCGACCCCCAAAATAACTGTGCCACGGAACTGCAACCCCTATTATCCCCAGAGGTTGTTTGAAGCATACAAAAGATATTGATTTCAAGTTTACTTTAAAGTCAATCATCCTCGTGGCTGAACGAAACGTTTCTCGGGTCAAAGGGCAAAAGCTTCAGGCGCTGTTTAAACACATCTTATAAACACAGTAAAAAAGTAGTAGGGGATATATATATCTATATATATATATATATATATATATATATATATATATATAGACAAACAAAGAATGCATCATATGTGTATTTGTATATTATTGATAGTATCTGTAACAACTGTTTTGCTGTAAATACAATTTCATTGAGTAATTGATTAGATTGATCTCGTGATACTGATGATCATCATTTCAGGGGGAAAAAAACCCCATATATATACACAAACACACATCTTAAAATATTTATACTATATAATATACTGCTATACTAGTATACTGTGGTATAAATATATATATATACAAACACATATCACATAGAATGTTCATTTTTATACCAAACCTGCATTACTATAACAGCATATATTGTATATATGTCCATTTTAATATCTCATGCATAATGCACAAATACAGTTTACGTCCTCAATCATCTTGTACCACGGCACCTTACTCAGTACAAGTACATATATCTACATACAATTTTTCCATGAAAGGTATATATTATGTATATATTATCTGTATTTGTATTTATTTTTCCATTCTACTGGCTTTTTTACTCTCTTGTCTCCCTCTTTCAGACAATCTGCGGCTGTAACATCTCTATTCTCATTATCTTCGAAACTGTATTCGATATCATCTCCCATCCACCCCACCGACTTGGTCACCCAGGGTCATTGTTCGGACTTACTGTCTCGGKGGTGCCACCTGACTGCATTCAAGTAGGCGTTGCAGTAATGGAACAGAAACTCATGGTTCGACCTCTCAACTCTCCTCTGGAGCAAATCCATGAGGTCGTGACCATCGATCTCCCTGCAGAGCAGAGGACACAAACATTCAGCTGCTCAGTATGTGCATGAGTGTTATGATCCCAAATATGTACACTGTATGACAATGACACCAGATTTTTCTATTGCTTTTCTTGCATTATATGTTATTTCATTTTAATTTTACAATTCTATAATGGTGTATCATTGTTACGCTGACCCTTTCACAATCATCATCTTTCTTTTTACTCGTCTCAGTGCTAAAAGGTGGAGGCTGGTTGCCAGCAGCAGAGCGTGAGTGGCAGTGAAGCCGAGCAGGGATCAGTATTTAAAGGCACCGCTTTGTCGAGAGAACGGGCTGAAACAGCAGCTGATATTTTATGACTCTGTGTCCTGCATGAACTAACTTATTTATTTGAGAGTGTAGCACCAGAGCCCCCAGATTGGGGCAGGGGGCGCTATTTGGCGCTAAAAAACAAAACAAAGCAATGCAGGAGAAGCAGAAGTAGATGAAAAAAAATCTGCATTTTATTGTCAAAAAGGTGCTGCAGCAAAAAGACAAAAGGATCCTGGGAAATGCAACAAAAGTAAATCATACTAGAGTTTAAAAAAACAGCACAAAATTAGACAACTCTACACATTAAGCTTCCAACTCCTCTCTCCCCCTCCACTGCTGACTGGCATTCTGCTTTATAGCCTCACCTGCCTGGACCCTACCACCTGCGCTGGTAAATATAAAGCGAGCTAAACAGGAAGACAAATAGAAACCACACTTAACACAATAACAAGTTTGGACTCTGGGTTTCCTGCTGACCTCCCAACTCAATCTATCTGCACAAATACAGAAGATGAATGCAATAGGTTGATTTAAATGTGATCCCATGCAGCACACTTCCCCCCGTTCTCCGTCAGCTTGAGCCTGCCCGGCCCCCTCCTCTCTCTCCGAGCCCTGATCCTGCAAACCTGTTGTCAATCTCTGCTGATCCCGAACGCAACATCCGAACACAGCAACGCCACGAGCATGAGGGTAAACTGTCACCACATACCTGCTGTGAAAAAGAATACAACCCACACCCCCCCTAACAAAAAAAGATGATCTGCATAAACTAAAAATTATAATCAAAATTCAAATTGTAATCAAATTATTAAATGTTTAATGTGGGGGGACAGGTCGCCTGCAGGAAATAGCAGGGCCAACATACAGAGACAGCAGTTCACGCTCACTTTCACACATTTAGATGAACCTTAATCCCCATGTCTTTGCAAAACCTGCAACCTCCTCTCGGAAAAACACAAAAGGATTTGAACCAAACCTTCTTGCTGTGAGGCAACAGAGCCCTATTTGTATTTCTTCTTCACATTTTTCGATGATTACACGCGGATTGTGCCCTTCTTTAAGGCAGAGTATTGAGAGACTTCCCTGGAATTCGGTATATCAGGTGTTATTATTATTATTGTGACTCACAGTGGCGGATGAAACCCTGCAGATCAAAGCCTCAAAGTTACCTTAATACCCCCTGTTCATTAGTAAACATGTTTGCTCCGCTCAGAGCCTGCATCTCAGTGACTCACTCTCTTCTAGATGTGACCTAGATTCCAGGCTGCACTTGTTTTGACTGACATTCGGAGCGAGCGCCGTCTCACTGCTTGGGCGGCCTCACCTGTCCTCTGGGACCGAGGCTCCGCTCAGGTGTACCACTGTGGGAAACAGGTCCATGTTGCTGGTGGGCTCGTCTATCTGCGCGCCACCGGGGATTTTTCCAGGCCAGCTGAGAATTCCGGGGACCCGGATCCCTCCCTCCCAATTTGTGGCTTTCCCTGCTGCTCGGAAGAAAGAAAAAAAAAGGACGCAAACCCATGAAAGCTGCCATAACTCAGCATGTCTGGGCTAAAAACAGCGCCCGGTTGGTAACTAAAGCAACAACTTGCTCCTTAAGAGTGGCCACTTGCAGAGATAAAAGAGCATTGCCGACAGTGTCTGCATAACAAAAGCTCGCGCTGCTCTTTGAATCCGCTCTTCTGGGTCCAAACAGAAAGATTACATCAAATCTGAGTCCACACTGCGAGCCTCTGTCTGGAAGCATGTCTTAAATCATAGACAATAGTCTGCTGCTGACTCTCTTAGGACACCACTGCTCATGTGATGCGAATAAAACATTCTTACTTTGATTATATTTTCTGTGCACGGTCTAGATTTTCAGTCTCACCGCATACGAAGTTTTGCGACATTTTGATTTTACACGGGTTTCATTTCCTGGAGGGCACTGTGCAATTGCAGAGAATATCATTAAGCAATGGGATTCACAGTTACAGTTAAATACAATCCAGTACTATTGACTAATTAAATACGGTGCAAGCTCTGCTGTTGCTGTTACATCCGTGGGGCTGATGCTTATATATATTGAGATGGATGGATGGATGGCTTAAAACCTTCCTTCCTGAAACTGACCTGCTCTTATAATTATCACTGATAATTCGGTTTATATTGTTATACCGTTAATTCCGTTCATACCGCCATATTTGCCATAATTGTACTTTTTATATCTTCTAAATTTGCCACTGTCTTTTTCTTAGATATCTTTTAGCTTGTATATGTTTTTTTATATTTACTTTATATCTTTTACTTACTTATATTTTACATTTCATGTTTAATGCTGTTTGCACCGGGGATAAGAGGGAAACGCAATTTCAATTCTCTGTATGTCCTAAGTTGACAATATGTCTACTCAGATACTCGACCATTACTGACAATAACTCCTCAATTCCTTTACTCTCCTTTCTGTTACAAACTGTTTCTTCAAATCAATGTTGTAAATACTCTTATTTTCCTGACGTTCTCCATTAAACTTGGCATCTATTGCACTTCTGTCCGTCCCGGGAGAGGGATCCCTCACATGTGGCTCTCTCTGGAATCTCATTTCAACACATGGCAGGAATGGTGGATAAAGGAACACGGGATAAATATATAAAGTTTCGTTTAAGGAACATTTATTCAATTTGAATTAGGTTAATGTCGATTTTCAATTGTAATATGGTGCAGAGAAGCTGATGGAGAAATGAAGTCGGTTTATAGTCACATGTTGAGTGCACCTTCCAAATAATGTGTGTTTGCTTACAATATATGTGGTCTTTCACCTTTCAGTGTAAATACTGGACTCTGTGTCCTCACTCCTACTCCTCCTTTCACACATTCATCTTTTGCCGCCTCCGCAGCCTCCTCCTGTATTATCTTGTAGTTGGACATGCATTTTTAATGTGTTTAATGAGTGTTCATATTCATTAAATGTGTACCGCAGAGGTGTTGTGAGCTCAGGGGACAGCGAAGCTCAAGGTTGCTCCAAATTGTTCCAAAGCATATAGCCTCCCTGGCAATATAAAGAACTTGTAATTTGCAATAAATGTAATAAAGGTGGCAGCGAGAGCCGTGGCAAGAGTCTGAAAAGACACACTTCTCATGCTGTACCTTTATATATTCCATTTGATCCATGTTGGGTTTCCTCCAGATGAGCCCCCTGGTCTGAAGTAAAGTAAACCAGGGTGTTTTCTCTCAGTTTGAGTCTTTCCAGAGCGTTCACCATCTGACCTGAGAACGGACACAACAGTTACACATATTTTCACAAGGGCTCATATCCACACACACAAACGGACCATAGCACGTCCATTTACATTCACAGCCAACTGTGGTGCAGTGTAACTAAACTACTTATTGTACTACCAACACACACAATATGCAGTACTAGTACTAGAAGCAGGATTTTGAGAATGTGTAACCCTGCATGAAACGCAGGAAACGTCAAATCATAATTCCTTGGAAGGATTCTTGCCGCTGGGTGCAAATTGAAAGCTCCTCACCAAAGACGAGAGCCAAGGAGAAAAAGGAAGTAGCATTCAGCAAGCAAAATACAAAGCAATTATTATCCCCCTCCTTTGTGCTGACACAATACTCCTCAAGCTAAAATAATTGGGGTAATTACACGTTCATTAGCGAAGCAGCCCCCTGCATTCGGTCCATTGTAGGGTGGTATTGTATGGAGGTCGTCCTTGAGACTGAGCAGCAATTAATGCACAGAGAAAATGGCCCATTTCAACAAAACCGTCTGATGCACTAGAAACGAGCCCAAATCTGATAAGTGGAAAAATATGTACAGGATTTTTCAATTCCCCACAATCGAGGATTTTGCTGATGCAGTCGTACAATGAGTGGTGGAGAATATTTTTGGTTGCAGTCAGAATCAACTCTCGCCAATAGTTTCTTATATCACCAACTTGCTGACAAATGTTTCGGTTCCTATCAAACTGAGAATATAGATGGTGGGCGGCCCCCGTCTATATTTATGGTAAACAACGTCGAGTGTGCTGACCCACCTACACTCCAGTCCACCTCATGGACGGCGTCTCCATAGATGCCGTGTCGGCTTGTTCCCTTGAACGCTGCCGAAGCAAACATGGCCGTGTGCACTTGGATGAAAGAGAAGAACAGCAGGAAAGGCTTCTCTGAGTTGCTGCAGAAACGGAAAACACAGTTTAAACAAACAGCATTACATGGATATTCATATAAATCAGATTTTCATTGCAGCTTTATCCTTTTGTGTAAAGAAACATTTTTCGTTATTAATGAAACGGAACATTTAATATGAATACGAGACTTTTCTGATCCGTGTGGTTCAGGAAAAGCTGAAACGCACCTCTCAATGAAGTCCACGGCCTCCTTGGTCATTGTCTGTGTCAGGTTTTCAGATGCGAATGGCTGCTCCACCACCTTACGCTCCCTCATGAGAACACAGTTCATGTACGGCACGATCATCATGAATCCTCCCAACAGACCCACGACCACGAGGGACAGAGACAGCAGGGTCCAGATCAGCCATCTGGGGATGGTGATGATGCTGCAGTAGTGGAGTACGGCTGCAGTGACCAAGACAATGGCCAGTGTCTTGTATGGTAGATACCTAAAGAAGTCGAGTGCAGCGCCATGTCCTGGCTGGCATTCCCGCAGGTTGGTCAGGGGGATGCCGAAGAAATAGTCGAAGCCATGGACGCTGGGGTGGTGGCAGTGATCGTCTGTGCGGTCACAGTTAAGTCCGAGGTGCCATTTTCCTGGGAGCAAGACAGAAACATTTGCAACAGAAATCAAAACAAGAATTGGAGGCCAATGGAGGCCTTAGTCCTGCATGAATACTGGACAAGCTACATTCTGCACTCTTGCATTTCTGTCGATCCACTATTTTGTTTTAGCAAGGCTTTTATTGTGTATGAATAATAGACGGCCGCAGTGTACCTATCAGAGCCGTCTCGTAGCCTTGTTGTTTGGCAATCTTCGCAAAAGTCATCTCCTGGCTGGGAAGACCTCCGGATGCTGCGTTAAATATAAAGACCCCAGCTCTGTGAAGACCAGCTAAACCTGTTGAAGAGAAAAAATAAAGGAAAATATGTTAATCCACGTAACATCTAAGCAGTGGCATCCAATGAGGGCAAGAGAACTGTGTCTCACAGAGGATCGGATGTTTCGTGTTTACATTCTTTTTTTTAATCTGCGCCACCCTGTGGCAGCAGTGGGTTATTGCCTCGGGAAGCTAGCTTGACTGCCGTCGGCTGAATCAATGGTTTCTCTCATTTTTCATGGGGGTGACCATGTGCCGTTGACAAAAGATGGAGCTTGTGCGTAAGGGGAGAGCGGCTCGTTGGAGACTTTTGCCCTCCTTCCCTCCACGTCTCCGGGCTGTGGACTTTCCTTGATTCTTAGATACACCTCGAGGTACACGACATAACGTCAGTCAGGACATCAGGGTGAAGAGTGTTTTAACTTCTTTGCTGCAGAAGTAGCGACGCCCCGTTTATCCAGGAACATAAATATGAATTCAGCAGGTTTCTATGAAGATCAGTTCTAAGTGTAACAGCGGAGTAATGCGCCTCAGTTCAGTGGCGCTGCCAAGGGCGGGCCAGGGGGGGGGGTCACCTTGATGCAGTAAAGGCCAAAATTATTTATGAATTAAATACCTTAGTTTTTTAGATATCAAATGTGATATCTAGTGTTGAAGTTGCATGTTGCAGCTGAACACCCCTCACCTCACCCTCTCCTTCCAAACATGAAAAAGAACCTGTGGTAGCTTCAGTTGTCATAAAAACTCAAAAGGTGTTTATTTGTCCAGTCTGGACTAATGTAAGAAAGATGGCGGCCTCCGTAGAGAGGGTCCCCTCAATGTAAATATAAAGTATTTAAATAGAAAGGGTCTTTTCTGGTGTAAAGAAAACTACAATTCATAGAATTTAGATGAAATGAACTAGTGAAAACATCATGAGGATTATTCTACATTCCATTTCTGCCAATAGTTTCCTTTCACCTAAATCTTAGACACTGGACCTTTAAATAATTCACTCTTTAAATAAATGGGTGTCCTCCAGGATGTGGAGTAAACATCTGTTTTATGTGACAGTGTTGTAAAGCTGTGTTTCCCGTGGTCGTGGCCTGCAGAGAAACATTAAGCACCCTCATCCTGTAAAGATTTCTCTGTGTTAGCGTCCTTGAACTGGCCTGATCGTATCGGGTATCGTCCGGTGAGGAATGCTGCCCTGCTGGGCGTGCACAGGTTCGCCGCGGCGATGTGGTGAGTGAGCTTCACGCCTTCCTGTGCCAGCTGGTCAATATTGGGGGTCCTGAAAAACACAATTGATCACCAGTCACAAGACAGGCTCAACACTCAGAGATGAATGGAAGATCTTTTTAAAAGGCTTTTCCGTGGGTGGCTTGGAATTCATTATAAGTGCAACTAATCCAAAATTGGAGGAAAAAAAGGTCCAATAAAAACAGCTTGTGTCCAAGCAAAAAAAGAAATAGAGCATTTTCAAATCCGTACTCTGAAGAATAATAAAGATATATGCTTTTTTGAGCAACAGGGACACTGTAGAAAGTTTGTTTTTGAATCCCACTGACAGAACTCTCTGATACGTACTATTGAAGTGGAAATAATTGGGTGAACTGACTCTTTAATCGAGCCGCTTTACTACAAACTATATAAATCAAAATTCAGTGAGAAAACAACTGGATCTGCCAGCATCCAATAATTTGTTTGGGCAACTGAGGGACAGCTGGAAATACAACACCGACATGTGAAATCAAAGATGCAGGAGATTTTTTTAGCTTTAGGAGTTCTTGTGAGGGAGGAGGGGGAGTAAAACATACAGAGCCCCCTGGTGACACTTGGGGGGGGGGGGAAAGTAAGTCTAACTATTACATATTTTGTAGTTACACCAATGCAAGATGAAACCAGTTACCAATTTTAATGGTGTGGCTGCTAATTTAAGAAACATAATAATGAACTCTGATTATGAGTCATTTAATTCAAATTAAATTTCAAATTCAAAGTGAATAAGAATATATGTACAGGACCAGGGAGCAGGAAATTAATAACTATTTTAGCATATGATTAATTCTATGCATTTAAACTAAGGCACTTCACACTACTAGTCAATAAAAACACAGGGCACCATGCAAAGCAGAGTTTAATTTCTAGTTTGCAGGGACAGTGTGCATGTGGTCTTTTGGTGACAAGACGCAACTGGCACATCTGGGAACAGGGAAAGATTGAGATAAACTGCAGCTTGAGAGTGTGCACCACGCAACAGTGTCGAGGTTTCAGCGGAAGAGAGAGACAGAGTGAAAACGGCGAAATGTTTTTTTTACCTCAGTGTTTTATTGCCGTAGCAGCCCAGGTCTCCAATTCCCATGTCATCCACCATTATCAGGACGAAATTGGGCTTGTGGCTTTCCAGAGGAGACACACAGCTCATCTCCAAGACGAGCAGCAGCAGAGAGGTTGGCAGGCATGTGGACTTCATGTCGTCAGAGCAGAAACACTAAAGGAAAACACACCAAATGCTGATTTATTTGTAATATACAATATAATAGTCAGACGCTGAGAAATCGTTTTTTTTTGGGGGGTGGGGTTTCCTCACGTTTCGAGGGTTAACTTGAGGATATCATTTTCTTTGTTTTCTAATTTTATTTCCTTTACTTATGTTTCTTAAAATCTGTGCTCTCATCATGAATAACATTTTAACATATTTTATTTTCATCTACATTTTATGTAAAGCACTTCGAGCTGCATTTCTTGCATGAAATACATCC